AAAAATACTAAGATGGGACCAAAAACAGTGGATTGTGTGTTTATTAGTTATGTGCATAATAGTAGTGCATATCGGTTTCTGACTTATAAATCAAAAATACCTGATATACATGTGAACACTATTATAGAGTTAAGAAATGCTATGTTTTTTGAACATATTTTTCCTTATAATAAAGGACAGGAATTAAGTTTACAAGAAAAACTTATGATTTAAACAGAGTCAAGAGACTAATGACAATCAAACACAAGAGATTAGTAATGGTCACAACCAACATGATTTAATGGTCACAACCAACATGATTTAACTTATGGTGAACCAGGACGAAGTAAGAGAGTGAGAATATCAAAACCTTTTGATCCAGATTTTCTGCATACCTATTAGAAAATAAGCCTCAGAGCTTTAAGGAAGCAATGCCAGGTCCTGAAGCACATTTGTGGAAAGAGGCTGTTAATAATGAAATTGAATCCATTATGCAAAATCATACTTGGAATTGGGTGGATCTTCCGCCCGGTTCTAAACTCTTCGGTATAAATGGATATTTAAGAGAAAAATGAAAGTAGATGGTTCAATAGACAAATATAAAGGAAAACTTGTGGTAAAAGGTTACAGACAAAAAGAAGGTCTGAACTATTTTGACACATATTCTCCTGTGACAAGAATAATATTCATCTGCATGCTTATTGCTATAGCAGCGTTGTATAATTTAGAGATACTTCAAATATCAAATGGATGTTAAGACAGTTTTCTTAAATGGTGATCTAAATGAAGAGATCTATCTGGAGCAACCTGAAGGGTTTGTAGTGCTAGGGCAAGAAAAGAAATTTTGTTGGCTTGTAAAATCTCTTTATAGATTAAAACAAGCTCCTAAGCAATGGCATGAAAAATTTGATCACGCTATGCTTACTAACGGGTTTAAGATAAACGAATGTGACAAGTGCATCTATGTTAAAAACACTGACAATGGTTATATCATCGTTTGTGTTTATGTGAATGACATGCTTATCATTGGAAGTAGTCAAAATATGATCAAATCAGCCAAGCAAATAGTGAACAAAAGATTTGATATAAAAGATATGGGGGTTGTAGATGTAATATTAGGAATGAACATTACTAAAACATCTGGTCGATATGTATTATCTCAATCTTATTATATTGAGAAAATTCTTGGTAGATATATCAAGGATGATGCGAATGTAGCAAGAACACCCCTAGTTATCAGTTTTTATTTATCGAAAAATAAAGGTGATGCGGTGCCTCAGTTAAAATACTCCAAAATCATTGGAAGCCTAATGTACACGCGTCCTGTCAGTAAATTGAGTAAGTACACTAGTAACCCCAGAGAAGATCATTGGAAAACAATCATTCAAGTTCTTACATATCTAAGATTTACCCGTGATCATGGTTTGAACTTTACTCGATATACAGTATTGGAAGGTTATTGTGATGCCAATTGGATATCCAATACTAAAGATTCAAAATCTAGTAGTGGATTAGTTTTTACTCTGGGGGGCGTTGCTATTTCTTGGAAATCCACGAAACAAACATGCATTGCATGATCCACAATGGAATCTGAGTTCATTGCTTTAGACAAAGCAGGAGAAGAAGCAGAATGACTTCACTACTTCTTAGAAGAAATTTCAATGTGGTCAAAACCTGTGCTAGCTATTTGCATTCATTGTGATAGTCAATCTGCAATAGGAAGGGCATAGATTCATATGTATAACGGTAAGTCATGACACATTCGTCGTTGACATAATACCGTAAGGAAATTGCTCTCAAGTGGAATAATCTCAATAGATTATATAAAATCTAAAGAGAATATTGCATATCCGTTAATGAAAGGTTTGGAAAAAGAGCAAATGTATAGTTCATCAAAGGGGATGAAATTAAAGTCTATTGCATAAGAGTCATCATAATGGTAACCCTACTTAGATGACTGGAAATCCCAAGAACTAAGTTCAAAGGGACAACTAAGTTATACGCGGCTCACCAGAAATCACCAAGGGATTAAAAAATCCCTACCCATTCCTATGGTGCGAGTGATATCTACAACATGTTGTTTGCAGGAGTTTAAGGCTAAGCTTTGCTAATGATTACTTATATCTTGATTTAGGCATAAAAATCAACACGAATATAAGAGATACTCACAATAAGAATCACCTATATCAGTGTTGAACTAGGGCCGGTTCTATGAGAATGAAGAGGCTAAATTCTCTAGAAACACTCATGAACAACCAAGAGCATTCAGGGCCAAAAAGAACACAATCGTGAGAACCACAATGTGTTAGTAGATATTTTGTGTGAAAACTATTGTCTTCACTTACACTAACGGCTGAACAATTCAAGGCATCGCATCCATTGGTAAGCTAGTAAGTCCGATAAGTTATCACTAGGGAAGGTTTAAGGCTGAAAGCTACCTATCCAGATCCAAGATATTTTTGATTTATACTCTTTTGACAAATTTTGCATATTGTTGCATTTTCGTTGTCATCAAATTCCATTCATGTAGGGGACTGTAAGAAATGGTTTGAAAAAATTCTTTAGCAAAAACAGTTTTTTCTTAAACTTTGGTCTAAGTTTTAGGTGGGACCCATGCGCCAAAGTTGGCGGGTCCATATGGCAATGCGTTCTTTTTCGCATAACAATTCACATCTTATATTTGGTTGCTCAAAACCATTATCGAGTGAATGGGAAATCGATGCCAAATTGAGCTACATGAAAATGGTGTTTTAGTGAAGTTTCCATAAAAGGATGGAGTTAAAGGTTTGTCCCACATTGCATTGGTGGGCAAACTTTTTGTGGGTTTATAAGCCTTGGGTTTACAACTTGGAGAGGGTCCCAAGGCGTACCCAAGTTTTGTAGAATGGTGAGATTATGGGTAAAGTAGGTTAGACCCATTAGGCACACGTGCGTGGTGTGAAGTTGGGCTTCTCTGGCCCAATGGTTATTTTTTTGGGCCAAAAACATTTGAATTTTATTTTTCTAAAATTAAATTCTCACCATTTGGAATTTGAATTTCGGTTTGAAATTCAAAATTAATTTGTTTGGTCCAATTCACTTATTCCTCTTTACTAAACAAGTTTCTACCTATTTAAATTAAACCTGAACAAGTTTTATCGGTTCAAATTTAAACACGAACAGGTACTGTATCTATTCATATATGTCCGAACAAGTTTGGTACCTGTTAAAACCTTCTGAAAAGCCACAAGTTCTCCTAAAAATAATCAGTCCCTCATTTGGATTTTATACTCAATTATTTTCATTCTTACTTCTGCTATTGCTCTCTGCATTTTGTTGCATTAATTTTTTTTTTCTATGAGAAAGTATATAAACACAAAGTGTGTTCATTGTATAAATAGTTTGTAGTGCTGCTACTATTCATTGTAGATCATTTCATCTTGGGAGTTAGACGTCCATAATCTGTGACCAGCCTAGAAAGGATGAATCTGTCTTAAGGAGACACTGTTAAACACTGGACTTGATCATTTGAAGAAAATATTTTTTGTAATTATTTTTCTGGTTTTATTTTGTTTTCTTCCTCCTACTCTATTTCTATTTTCTGTTTGGTTTCTATAATTAAACAGATTTTGAAAAATCTTTATTTAAATTTATTCCTTGTGTGTTCTGTTTGTTGTTAAGTACACAAACAAAATTTAATTTTAATACAGTAAAGATTATCTAATAAAAAGTCGTGTTAAAACATGGACTAATGTTTAATTATTTTATTTCTTACTCACCATTAAGGCTGCCTTTATTCGATAATTAATTAAAGTATATTAAATGTGAAGACTATATGTACTTAAGAAACTATTTATGGCAGAACCCTAAATATTCTTGAGAATAAAAGACAATTACAAAAAAAGAGTTGCATTTAGGCATTACACTTCCCATTCATTTATTTTTTGCCACAAAACGAGTGCATTAAATTAAAAACATAAGTCCGTACATTAGAAACAAAAAGAGCATCAGTAGGGTCATACCAATCCCTCTTCAAAAAAGGGTACAAAAATTAATGAGAATGGTATAATAACAATTCATCTTGTAACATGGCTACAAAAGAAGCAAGAGCATCAATCACTTGATTGCTCTCTCGATAGGTAAAGCACCCATCGATTTAAAGCTCGAGGTTAGCTACTACAGAAAGGAAAAAGTCTAAATGGATTGTTACTATAGAAGCTGTGATGATCCCGCTTCATATAATATTTTATATTTAATTAATTATGAAGATTTGAATTTTAATTAGTTGTTACCTTGATTTAATTTAAGATTTATGAGAATTGTGGAGTCTGATTCCTATATGATTCTATTGAAGATTTATTTTAAGGGTCCTAATGGCTTAAGGAAGCGAAATTAAGAAGTTTAATCAATTTAATTTTAATTACAGACCCATTTGGGAGTTAATTAAATATTCGATTCAGTATAGCAAAATTGAGATTCGATTAATTAGGTTCAAATTGGAGTTAATTAAGTTAATTAAATTATGAGGATTGAGAATTGTGATTATTACGAATTAAATTTATTTATGGAGTGTCCAATTTGAATATGTAATTTATTGACGGGAATTTAAAGTCTGATCAGAAATTGAAAGCCTCAATGATTTGGGAAATCAAAATTGATGTTTGTAATAAGTTTAATTTAATATTTGGAACCTTTTTGGAGTTTGATTAAAAATCTTATTCAGATTGACAAATTTAAATACAATTAATTGGGCTCTAAAAGAAGTCAATTAGACTAATTAAATTAAGTGGGATTTGTGATTAGTCATGATTGATTTAATTATGTGTTAATCAAGATTTATTGAGACTAAGTGTTGCTTAATCAAATTAATTTTGATTATACATTAAATTATAGAATAATCTAGAATTGAGGGTGTATTTGGAGGTGGGTGTACAGAGAAATCTGTGTGTGTAGAGAAAGCGTGGGTGTATGTGCATAAGTGTGAACATAAGAAGGGAGAGTAGCCAACTTCTTCCTTTCTTTGTGCTCGGTAAACCGTGAGTTAGAGAGAGAGAGAGAGAGAGCGCTATGAAGCCTATTCAATTTTGCTGGAAGGGATTTGATGGAAAGCTAAGGATTAAAGAAAAAGAAGAAGAAATGGGAAAGTGGACAACCCAACCAAATTCTATCTTGAAAACTAACAGGTAAGATATTCTAACCCAATGTTTATAACAATCTCTTCAATACTTAAATTTATGAGGTAATTGAGTTTGAGTACATAAAATATGAAGGAATCAAGGAAAAGAATGAAGAAAATTAAGTTAAAGTTCAAGAATTAAGGAATTGATTTAGAGGCTCATCTTTTAAGTATGATTTTAGTCACCTTTGATGAATTTGAGTTCTAATTTTACATGTATCATGAATTTTAAAGAATTTGAACTGAGTCAATCTCATATTTTGAAGAGATAAGGGAAAAAGGTTTAGAAAGATCAAACTTATGGAAATTTGGAATTAATCCAAAAGTAAGACAAATTAGACTAATTAAATTAAGTGGGATTTGTGATTAGTCATGATTGATTTAATTATGTGTTAATCAAGATTTATTGAGACTAAGTGTTGCTTAATCAAATTAATTTTGATCATACATTAAATTATAGAATAATCTAGAATTGAGGGTGTATTTGGAAGTGGGTGTACAGAGAAATCTATGAGGGTGTATTTGGAAGTCGGTGAGCTCAGAGGGAACACCATTGATCTTCAATCTACACAGGAGAGAGAGAGAGGGGGAGAGAGGCTGAGACCTGAGAGTGTGATTTGAGTGAGAGAGAACACCTAAACAAATAATATAATACATATATATATATTATAATATATATATAGTAACCCTAAACAAATAATATAATATATATATATATTATAATTACTCAGCGGGGACAGAGTCGGGGATTAGTCGGGCCGGGGCCGGGGCCGGGGCCGGGGCCGGGGTTGGAGAATTGATCCCCGTCCCCGGCCCGAATCTGTTCGGGGATTAAGTTTTAAATACCATCCCCGTCCCCGCGGGGATATTTTTCGGGGAAAACCCGCTTAAATCGGGGTCGGGATCGGGGATCCCCGTCGGGCCGGTTTCAAATTGCCATCCCTAAACCCAATGTTTATAACAATCTCTTCAATACTTAAATTTATGAGGTAATTGAGTTTGAGTACATAAAATATGAAGGAATCAAGGAAAAGAATGAAGAAAATTAAGTTAAAGTTCAAGAATTAAGGAATTGATTTAAAGGCTCATCTTTTGAGTATGATTTTAGTCACCTTTGATGAATTTGAGTTATAATTTTACATGTATCATGAATTTTAAAGAATTTGAACTGAGTCAATCTCATATTTTGAAGAGATAAGGGAAAAAGGTTTAGAAAGATCAAACTTATGGAAATTTGGAATTAATCCAAAAGTAAGACAAGGTTTTGATTTTATTATGAAAATTATGAATTTGATTGATCCATGCATGTAATTGAATTTAAAAGTTTTACTCAAATTCAACACATTTTGGAACATCTATGATCATAAATTAGGTTTTTGGTTAAAAATTGAGTTAAGTTGAAATTCTAGGAAATTGATTTTTGTAATTCATTATTTAAGTTTGATTTTTGCTATTAATAATGAAATTGAATTCTATTTTACATACATCATGAAATTTTCAAAAGTTTTGATAGTTTATTTTATGTTCTAAAATTTGTGAGTTTGAAATTGGGTTTGATATGGAGAAATAAATTAAATCTAAATTTGGACAATTTGAGCATGATCTTGAATAAATGGCTTCAAATTGGAAGTATTTTCATGTTATATAATATTTTTCCAAGTTTTTGTACCAAAAACATGAGTTTTGGAACTTTGAATATCAAGTTTGAAGCTCAAACACAGTTCTGGAAATTCCAGAATTCATGTTGTCCGCTCGAGCGAGAAAAGCTCCGCTCGAGCGTGAAAATCGAGCTCCCAGAAGTTTTGCAAATTTTACAGTCCGCTCAAGCGACCAAAGTGGTGCTCGAATGAGGACCCTATTTTCAGCAATTTTTGACTAACTCTTTTAAATACATAATTGCATCCTCATGACATTCTAAGTATTCTTAGGCACCAATTGGACTCACATAGTCATGGAATAAGCTAGAAACACATAAAGAGAGTTGGATTAAAATGAAATGAATATTAAATGGTGCTTCTATTGTGTTTTTGTTATGTGATTTATATAGGTAGGCATCCGAGGCCGTATATCGACTTAACCCACTGTGAGTAATAACCTTATAAAGATATGTTCAAATAATCTTTACTTTCGAAAATGTTATTGCTATCAAAATGGATATGCGATTGATTGAATGAATTCTTAAAATGATTTGATAATGGATAGCATGGAGTATTGAAATGTTATGTCCTTTAATAAATGAAGTTCTATTTTGAAACAATATTGTGCCATCCATTGAATATAGGCCCTTGCCTAGGGGTAATAGTACCATGGCTAGGCCCTTGCCTGGGGGTAATAGTACCATGGCTAGGCCCTTGTCTGGGAGTAACAACATCATGGCTAGGCCCTTGCCTCGGAGTAACAATACCATGGCTTTTGGATTGATTGACATACGGTTCGTTATTACTTCATGGATGTACCACATAATTTGACATTGAAAGATCTTAATGATGAAGTTAATGAATTAATGAAAATGCTATCGCATAATGGTTTTTATTTTTGTAAGGGATTGATGTGATGGCTAATCGAATTGTTTTGCCTATGGAAATCGATTATTTCGGAAAATGAAATATATGTTTTGGTAAGGGATTTGGTATGGAAAATGTTTTGTTATAAAGTTTGATATAATATGGCAAATGCCTTAGTTTGAAAATGATTTAAGATTCATTTCGAAATTGTAAGACATGTTTTTGTACTATCGTCAAACTTCATTCATTTAACTTCTTTATTCTGTTATTACTCGCTGGGCTTTACCTCACTATTTATATGTAGGTGAGCAAACTAAGAAACAAGGATAGAGAAAGCCACGGAGTCTACCCGTGTCAGCCTTTCGAAGAGCTTCCGGAATAGAGCAAGTTAGGCTCGAGTAGAGCCAAGAAAATTAGCCTTTAGCTTTGTCAGAGTTTTGTGTTTGGCTGAGTCTTATATATATTTATGTGTGTGAGATATATGGTATTTGTATATGTTTATAAATTATTATGGCATCATGTAGGTACAAGCTCAATGGGCATTTTTATTTTTGCTTTGCTTCAGCTTTAGGCCCCAATATGATTTTAAATATTTTGGAATTTTGTCTATGAGGCCGAAGGTAATCCCAGATTACTGGCCGGTCACGATGCTAAATGTATAGGGGCGAGTTTGGGTCGTGACAGAAGCATACATAAATTTGCTAAATAAAATGATAGTATCACATAAGTGTTTGTTGACTTAGATGACTCAAAAGTAAAGATGAAATGGTAAATTCTTTGAGTGGAATATATTGCCAATAATAATGCGCAAGGTACATTGAAGTTTGAATTAAAAACGTAGCATAGTTGGAATGCTATTATTTCCCAACTACGACAAAAATAAATGACAATATTGGATTTAAAAGAATGACATAACTGCAGGCTATATGCTATGAAATTATGTTAAAATAATTTATGGTTTCTATGTGGAGAAAAATTACCATATAAACGAGATGATGCCCAGAGGGTACAAACACACTATAAGGACTCGCGTGAATAAACCTGCAATGCAAACACTAGAAAAAAAAATTTCTTGCTGGGGTGATTAGTCCGGGGACTCTTTAATACTTAAGTCAGTAGTTGTAGATGAATTTCCACTGGAACAATAGGTTTAATGCCAATGGTTATACACGTGATCTTCTGGATGGTTTGCTTACTTATAGTTGGTTGTGTTGTTACTATTGAGAGATTTTAGGCACCACTCCCCCTCTGTTTCGCTTTAGTTGGTATTGTGTCCCATGTTTGCAATATTTGGCATGTATTATTTCAGTACATCTTTTTATTTTATTTAGGTCACATTACCTTTCTACTACTTGTAGCCTGCTTTTCGTGCTCCTTTCGGATACGATAGCCCTACAGTTCAGACTCTCGTGCTTTTGAATCTGATTTCACAAGTGCAATGTGAAATAGATAAACACAAATGAGTTCAAATCCGACAATTCTTTTGGAAAATCGATTTCGAATCAAAATGCCAAAAATGGAATAATTTGCCAGATTACAGAGTCACCACCTAAATATTTTTTTGGAAATTTAGGAAACTTGAGACTCGTGCCAAAGGCCACTTATTCTTCATCACCAAAGTGTCTCGGCTTGGGAACTTAGGTACGAGAGGGGAAGGTCATGAATTGACCACACCACTCGCCCGATCAAAGATCGGCCTCTACTAATCATGATGTGATTTTTTTTAACATTATATGCTCTTGTTCCGATTTATTACGCTATTTTTACTACGTGATGCACACAAGTATAGACTAATTTGTAAATTTTGGAACACTTTGATCTTATGTTTGTTTTGAAATGTGTTTGAATATGTTCCACTTGAAAAGGTGACCTCATATGCACATTTGATCAAATCATCCCAATTTGAGCAATTAACCTTCATCCACAGGCATTCTAACAAGTATATTAATTAAGCACTTAGTCTCATGGAAAAAATGCTTGATATGGAAACAATCACACACATGCGATATGCTAAAGTAATAAATTATCACCTAGTACTCCGAGGCAAGCCAAACAAAACAAAAGAATTAGAAAATATGCATGCCCCTAACAAATGCAATATGACTAATGCAACATATGGAATATGCAATTTTAATAGGCTCGGCTACTAACACGCTATGTGAATCAATTTGATAGCATGTGGTTTAACCACGTTTTCAAGGAAGTAATAAATAACAATGTGAGTTAGAATGATGAGCTGAACTTTTATGCATGCAAGATATATGGATGAAAAGTAAGGAAAATGCTATATGAAATATGATGTACTACACTATCCATCATAAGCATGTAAATAAAAGAGAGAAAGAACGGAGGTTGGAAGACATACACAAATTATTACAATTTCTCCCTTGCATAGGAGGGTCCGAATAAATGTCCTAGCTAATTACCATGAATTAACTAACTATACCCAAAATAAATGAATTAACTATTCTAACTAATTATTTACAAGTTAGAACCAACTAAGTAATTACAGCACAAAATTAATTAACTAAGCTATTACAAGTTTGAAGGAATTACACTTTAATTAATTACAAGCTACTCATTAACGAGCCACAATGAGGAATTGCTCATGCATGAAATGCGGATTTGCCACCAGAAAATGCCCTTGTTTGGCTGCCAAAATGATGTTGTTTTGCAATTAGAAAATTGCACTATTTTTTACCTCAGCCTTTGTTCTGTTCTGCAAGAAAAAGGACACTGCCTGGCTAAAAAAGGTGGCCGACCAGCCAGAAGAAGTGGTCGGTCGTACAGTAACGTGGCCGGCCGACCACTAAAGTTTGGTACTGCCCTGCTGCAACGGACATGAAACAAAGCACAAACAGAGTATTTTCAGGAGATGTTTGTCCACCCTGCCTCTCCTTATCATCAAACATATCAAAGGAGAGGTAGGCTCAATTCACAAGCCATCACTCGATGCAAACTCATTGCATGATAACTTATGAATCAAGGGATACAATTTCAATAAATGACAATGAAAGACTTATAAACCTCCTCTCTATCATGGAATTGATCAAAGGAAGTGGTTAACCTTGAATCTTTAGCCATTTTCATCACTAACAAGTATGAAATGACTCAAGACTCAATGAATTTAATTAACATCCGATTGAACTCCAAATTGATTTTATTATCTTGGTCCATTTCAGTCCAATTTTATTACCTCTTTTACTTACCTTTCCATTTATTAGTCATTTTAGTCCAAGATGAGCGTTAAGTCCACTAATGGAGAGAAGTGTCAAACAAAGGGTTGTTTTGGGCATGAGAGAAATGTCATGCCTTTGGTAATGAACCTCCGAAGAGATTACACCATTAAGCATAAGGATCTCTATCTCAAGCATAAACAATACCCATTTGAAACAACTCTCAAAGAAAAGAAAAAGGCAAGAAAAAAGGGTGGTTGCAGAGGTGAATAGAGAGGAACACAGATATGGAAAGCATTAAATAAATGCTATAAATTCAAATAGGTTGGTGTCTAATGCCTAAAACACCAAACCTATGAGAACCATTACACTACAAGCCTACTATACAAAGCATAAATGAAACTAACACATACAAAAAGCCCTAAATTAGGCTGAAATAGTGCTGCAATTAAGATAAAAATAGCTAAAAAAGCAAGGTAAAATAATAGAGCAATTAAGCTAGCAAACAAGTCAAAAGAGGGGTGGCTAACCCCTCCATTTTTGAGATTTCAAAACAGCATTTTTAGCCTCTGAAAACCTTTGAAAATTAGTGGGAAAGAGCTGAAAAAAAGGATAGGAAACACAAGGGTAAAAGCTTAGGAAATTAGGTTCAAATAAGGGTGATTAACCCCTCTACCTTTAATAGCTTTTAACCACAAGTTTCAGCACATAAACATAGTTGAAAAATAGCCCAAAAATAGTAAGAAAAGATAGGAAAGAAGTAGTATAAAAGAGCTAAGAGTTATACCTCTTGAAGAGGGGTGATCCTTTGAGTTATAAACCACCAATTTCTCACCCTCAAGAGCTAATATTCAAGCACAATAACCTCAACAAAGAACCCTAAAAATTTGGATTAGGAGGTCTAGGTAAGGTGTGTTTTGGTTTCAAGGTACAAAGAGATTTTTTTTTAAAAAAAATTCCCTTCACGAAAATTTTCTAACCTAATTTTATGAGAGAGGGTCAAGTATATATATAGAAAAATATGTTACTCCCTCGAAATATCAGTATAGAAATAACTGGTGCAGTGCATGCACCTGTGGAGATAGCTGGCACTGCTGGTAAAAATATATGCTTTTACTGACACAAGTGGCCGGCTAGCCACTAGTTGGACGGCCATACACTCACTTCTGGCCGGCCGGCCACCAGTTGGCCTGCAGGCCTCTAGATGGTCAGGCTTGGAAAACTATTGTTTTGGTCTAAAAATGGTGCAAGGTTTGTAGGCTTTAGAGGCTCAAAACCAAGGCTTTCTACTAAGGAAATCGAGCGTTTGACAAGCATGAAACTTCATCATTGGATGATCAATCAGTGGCGCCTAAGTCTTAAGGGCGGTAAAAAATGAGATGTCTACTGTTGCCCCTCTTTGACAGAGCTCTAAGTCATGAAATAACGTGAGTGAATGTCAAAGCTCAGAGACGACCCAGTTTGACAAGGCTGTAAAACTTGGGCAAATAATCAAGACAAAATTAAATTGGTTGAACCCAAGGGTTGCCTACGTATCCCTTTGCAAGGAATCAAACCAGCATAGTTCAGGGAAAGAATGTGAAGTGATATGTATGATGCAATGGAACAACTGAAAATACAAACGAGCATACCGCTTGAAAATTATAAAAATGATATTCAAGGCAATGGAAAAATTGAAATCAATAAACAAGAGCAATCTTAACTACGCTTCAGCTCACAAGAAACAATCCCAATTACACCCCCATGCAGAAAGATAAGCCCAAACTACACTTTCACGTAGAGAGGGGAGAAACAAACCAAACTACAGTACCGCATAGAGTTGTTAACCAAAAACAATCCTAACTACACTTCCGCGTAGAAAGGAACAAAAGAACCCAAACTATACTACCGCGTAGAGGGGTACAAGAACGAACCAAGCTACACTTCCACGTAGTGAGGAACAAGGGCAACCAAACTGCACTACCATATAGCACGGTGATCCTGACTACACTTCCATGTAGAGAGGAGAACAAAATAACCCAAACTACACTATCGTGTAAAGAGGTAGTCTTAACTATACTTCTGCATAGAGAGGATAATAAAAACAACCCAAACCACACTATCGCGTGGCGAGATAATCCTGACTACACTTCCGCGTAGCGATGGCGAGATAATCCTAACTACACTTCTATGTAAAGAGGACAAAAGCAAACCAAGCCACACTTCCGCATAGCGAGGTAAAGAACAATCCAAGCGAAGACACACTTCCGCGTGGCGAGGTTTAAGGGAGGGAACCCAAATCATACTCTCATGACAAGGGTGGACACCACAATGCTCACGAATACGACACAATCCGACGTAATTAAAAATCAGTACAATGACAATGCATGTTCTATGCAACATAAGATG